GTACAATCAAGCTAAAAAAAAACTAATTATGGTCACCCTATATACAATTAGTTAACTTTCTGCTTTTAATTTAGTGAATGCCATAGTAAATAATAAGTCAGAGGAAAAAAATTCAAAATGATTAGTATTTTAAAATGTTAAGAAATTGTAGAATAAAGAAATTAATAATAGGCCTAATAAAAATAATAAAAAGTAAAAAGAAATTTTTACTTTTTATTATTTTATTAATGCATTTGTTTCTACTTCAAAAGAAACATAATTGACAGATTCCTATCATTTATATAAAATTTTTGATATTCTAATATTTTTGCTTCAATAGTTATCTTCATAATTTTTTTATTAATTAAAGCATCCACACGTCTTTAGTAAAACAGAAATGTTTTTGTGTGTTAATATTATATTACACAAAAATAAAAATAGAATTACACATCTCTGTAAAGAGTATGTTAATTCTGTTCGTTGTCAAGTTTTGAAAGATTAAATCATTGCAGCTCATAGTAACGTTTTGAATATAAATGATATCTATTTATTGCTGTAATTGTGAATAACAAGATATTAATGTTTTATGTGCTGATTATTTTCATTATTTGGAAAATTTCCACTAAAATTGTTTTTGTGATCATCATTTCTGTATATTGTGAAATTCATATAAATTCGAGTTAGAATAAAATATTTTTTATTGTATTACAGTAATGGGATTATCATAAGCAATTATTTTAAAACAGATTGCAGATAGTATTGCAATTTCACTGAATTTAAATGTATTTTATGCTTTTTGAGTTATTTGCAGTTTTTTACATAAATCCTTTATTTAGTAGCAATATATTTTTACAAATGGATTTAACATTATTAATAAATTTTATCTCATTACAGCATTTTTGTTACATTTCCCAATGCTGATACTTAAATTAGTCATACATATCTGAGCTTAAAAGTATGTTATAATATGTACTATTACCTTTCATTATAATTTCTGATGGAATTAAACAATGTGCCATGTGTGCATTTGATTTTATCCTATTAAGTTTTATTAATTTTTGTTAGAGCAGTTTTCTGTTAAAAAATAGTAGTAATAAAATAAATTAGTAGTTATAAATTGCAAATGACATTAATTATCAGCATAATACAGGGGTGGTTCTGGAAAATTTTTAAAAAATTGCCAACCATTTTGCCAGTTTTAAATTGTTTTTATCATTCAAATTATTTATTGCCACCAGTTTTACTTACTAGAGAGGTTGCAGCAGACGTTTTCATCGTGAAAACGTGTACATCGGACGTTCAGCGCCGCCTTCCTGTAAGTCTAATAGTTTGACAATGGCGTTTGGAACGTCAGTGGAATCATGCTCAACATACCAAACACCATTGTCAAACTTCTAGGCATACAGGAAGACGGCGCTGAACGTCCGACGTACACGTTTTAGCGATGAAAACGTCGGCCGCAACCTCTCTACTAATTAAAGCAGGTGCTGGTAGCTTTATCAGTTTGGAGTCTGTAAAGCAAAAGTAATATATTAAGCTGCCACTTAGAAATAGGAATCATTTTTTAATGAATAATTTTGAATAACACATTATTGCCATTATTATATTTTTATCGCTACTTTAATTTTAAAAAAATATCACCAAGTGGCAATTTTTGTGCTATGTAGCCCTGTAATATGACATATTTTAATATTCTGAATGTTGGAAATTAATCAATTTCAAAATCATTTGTGATCCCTTGTTTAACATCAGTTATCTGTTTCTAAAAATTAAACATTCTATGGGAAAATTTTAATTAATTGTGAATCTATTTCTCATTATTTTAAATGGGAAAAATTATTACACACTACAAGTTTAATTTAAACAGCCAACTAATTTTTGAAAATGTAACTAAAACATAATACAATGCCTACATGTAAGTTATAAACTATCATATTAGGATTTAGAATGCTTAGGATCAAGGCTTTGGAGCCTGAAGGATCAGAGCATTTATTTATTTATTTACTTACTAATATTTTAGGCTTAGGTGTTAATTTCTTCAGCCATTTTATGGGAAGTTTTGAGCTTTTTGTGTTCATAAAATTTTTAAAATATTTGTAATTTAGCCGAAAGTTCTTTAACAACTTAATTTCTGACATATCTATATATATATATATTTTTTTTTTCAAAATTAAACAAAATTAATTTATATCAACAATATCATAATATGGTCAATAGTGTGAGAATTGTTGGGTGATATCCAGGCCACTGTGAGATTCTACTACAGTCTTTCTTTCTAACACCATTGTAAGTGTCTCTGATGATGGTGTGTTAATTCTGACACCAAGTAGGTTATGCCTCCTACATGAGTTTTGAGTGTTTTCTGGATGGCAATAACATAGTCTCATATGTGAGACTAAGGGTAAGAGGATGGCATAGGAAAGGATGAGATTCAGTTGGAATTTATTCATTCTGCACAATTTACTACACTTAAACATTTATTAGACTGCAAGAAAGTTGGTACAACACATTACACAGGGTATTCAACATTACAGGGTATTCAGAGAGATATTACAAATTTTTGGAATTTACAAATGAATTTGAAATTTGAAATTTTTGGATATTACAAATCACAAATTGGAAGTAGAATCCCCATTGAGGATCTTTGGAACGTAGTCCTTCAGTTAGCAGCTTAGGAGAGAAACAGCAAGCAGGGGGATGACAGAAAGGCATACAGACACAGTTAAACTGAACAGTTGGAAGAACGGGCGACGACTGACTGGAATTGACCATTCCTCATCATATTCAAAGCAGCAATTACCTTAGAGGTAACTAAAAGTCACAGGAAAGGTGTCATCAACTGTGAGAAAGTGTAAGTTGACACTCTATCAGGTCAGAAAGTTGACATATGCTAGCTTCTGATGAGGTCATCCTTGAGTTGTTTTCCTTTTAGTTGTTTGATTCTCACAATGGTTTAGTAACTTTTAAGTAATAATTAAAATATTACATCATTAATTTTGTTGATATGTTAAGTACTATTTTAACCTTTGTGGTATAAGCTGACAATTGTAAAAATAAACTGAAGCACTTTTCAGTCAGGTGCAGAAGGTATGATGGTAAATAACTGGTGAATATTAGTTATTAGTTAATTGTTTATTGGTACCTCCAGTGGTGCCTGCCAACTATAAAAAAGGGGAGGTCACAAGCTTTAAAAAAGAGCATTGTACATACATTATGCAAGATACCTGTATATATACATATGTAGGTATCCCTTGATTAAGGAAAGGGCAAAGGGGTGGCATGTGCCCTAAGTGTCTCAATGTACGGGTGCCCCTGGTATCTCTTTTTTTCTCTTTAAATTCAAAAAATAATTTAGTCTCTTTTCATAACAACCAATTAATTTTAGAATGATCAGATACACTAATCCATTACAAATAATCATTATTAGGCTTAATAAACATTTTTAAAAGTTTTAATCTCAGAAAAGAAAACTGGAGACTGACTACCTAAAATAATCTTTCTTCATTTGTGAAGGTAAAATACCATTTAAATGTAATAAATACAAAAAATCGATAATTACTTCAAATATCAAACGAACAGCCACGAGTGACTAATATAGTTATATCTAAATTAGCTTATTAATTAATTAGTCTGGAAGAAAACATCAGATGGAAGTCCTGGTAGCATTACAGGTAATGTGTTTGCATGGTAAGCAGAACTGGGGTTCAAGTTCCACTCCTGACTGTCCAGAATATTCTAAAATTAAATTATTTATTTATAATTATGAAACTTAACAAGAAATGGTGGCCCAACTGCCTATTTCCTGCCAATTACTTAGCAATTATTTAACCTTAATGCCACTTATAACTTTATAAATTATTTAGCCTTAATACCCGACAAAAGAATCTGGCTGTTTGTTTGATATTTAAAATATTTTGAATGCTTGTTGCAAGCTTTCTTTTGAGTTTGCAGTTTGGATTTTGACAAACTTAGATTTAAGTAAAAATTAAGTTTTTGAATTTCTTTCCTAGGGCAAAACTAACTGGGATGAATTGAATAGGGGATCAATAAAATAAGTCAGTGAAAAGTATTATATGAACTTGTTATTTTTGTACAATAAAATGCTCATTTGTTAAGACCAACTATCACCTCTTTCTCAGCAAATGTAACTAATTATAACAACACACCTGAATTTTTTGCCAAGCATAAATTAATTTATTCTCAAATGTTTTCAAACTACTTATAGGCCATCTTCAGGCTTATGATTAAGACCAAGTTATTTATAGTATTTTACTTGTTAAATTATATTTTGAGTATTTAAAAAACTTGTTTTTTCAAATTCTTCTTGAAATGGATTTGCATTTCTTATCTCAGTATTAAAAAACCAAAATTTGATTAGTGACTGATCAAATTTTGGCTTTGTAATTAATCATTCGTTTATCAGTTACAGAACAGTTTTGAATTTGTCTTTATAATAGTACAACTTTGATAAAGATTTAGAAGATTTAAGTGAAGTAATAATTTATATTTGAAATGTAATGCTATTACTGTATTTTTACAATTAAATATTGACATATTAAAACTATTTGGAAGTTTTATAGTATTGAAAATTTTTTGTTGTAGGGAAGTGTCAAAGTTTAATAAAAGAAATCTTAATTGAAATTAAAATCCCAGTCCTGAAATCCTAATAAACATTTTGATATTTTGTTTAATACATTAACTAACAGTTTATTACAAGTGTTTAACCAGTTATATTGTATGTATAATAATTTAAAATTTTAATTAATTTAATAATTTTCAACATTTCCATTGCAATAAGTGTAAAGCATGTATTTGTGTGCTGCTATGTGCTTGAAATGATGATAATGTTATTTTATCCTATAATATGAAAATAATTTATGATTATTAATATTTATTTTTGCTTGATAATGCTCAGTTTTAATTGATTAGCATTTAAAAGCTATATAGTTTTATTCCTAATAATAGCATTGCAGTGCTATGTAGCATTTTTGTTTTTTTGTTTTTATCTTGTGTCTTTACAGTGTATTGATATCTCGATGATCCTGGCCGAAGCAATCCGTCGTACTCACAATGGCGAATCCGTCACTTATTTGTTCAGTAACGTCCCAATGTAGAATGACCTTCCGAGATGCGATTCCTTTTCACCAACAACTGACAAATTCAGATTGTTAATACACATGCATGGACCTAGATATTTGTATGCTGTTTTCATAATAATTTCCATAATGATTCATTGTATTTTTTGAATCACATAGACCAATAATTCTGCTTGTATTAGAGGAATTCCTCTTATTTTTTTAATATTATATACAATATGTATTCAAAAATTTGTCATGGGATATACAATTAACTATTGATACAAACAAATGACAATGGATGTTTTTATATCAAATGTTTATAAATTGCTCTTAAAACAATAATTCTTATTATCAGATAACACTGTGTTAGAACGACTGTATTCTCGTATCTGTTAAACTCTTTGATATTGTTACAGGGGGGACAATAGATTTTTAAAAAGTCATTAAGATATGTTTATTCATATTCCTTTTGCAGATTATCAACAGATAATTCACGTGAGTTTCTATACAAAAAAATGTTTCTAAATGAAATTTTAAAATGTTTTGTTTTTTAAAATATCTAAATTTTTAATGTAAGAAATGAATTATAAATAATAATTTCGATTCAATAGATTGTTACACAGATTTTGATAAAGTGTGAAAATAAGAATAAAGTATAATCATGATTTTTGTAATCTGTGCTACTATGTTCCTTTAATTGCAGTGCTTGGATGTTTCTCGATTTTTTTCTGAAGCAATTCGTAGAAACCACAACTGTGAACCACTGGGTCCAATTCTTAATGATGTTCCATATTAAATCATCATTTATATAAAACCAAAAAAATTTCATTTGTAAAAAGTTAAAATATATTGTATATATGAAATAGATTATTAAGTTTATTATATAGTTATATTTTGTGCTGAAATAAGCCACAATTTTAAACAAAAAGATAAATAGTGCCATTATATTTTACTTTATGTAAATGCAAAATATTTCATGAGTTTGTTCATTTCAAGACGTCTTTCTGAAAAAGAAATATACCTGATGTTATTTACAGATGATTTCTGCAGATAAGTGACAACTGCAAATATTCAGTGTAAAGTTATGTTGGATAATAAATATTATTTTTAAAAGTTATCCTGTAAAGTTACTTAATTATCTATATGTACTGTATGTTTTAAAATTCACTCTACGAGCACTAATAGGGCTTTATACACACCCAACATGAGTTAGTCTAGAGCTCTAGACCTTCTACGAGGACGGTCAGATGGTGAGGAATAGGATATATATATATATCCTAGATGGGCCATGGAAAATTGCTGAGGTTTCTGACTTATAAAACCCAGGCACCCAGAAGGTATGTTTAAGCCCTTTACTTTATGACCATTGGCTATCAAAGCAGCATTTATTTATTGCCATAAAGTAACATAATTAAATCTTAGATATTCAGTGACTTGATTGAAAGAATTATTGGGCAAATCTCAACCATATTTGTTATACAAACTGTCCTATAGGTATGTGGTTTCGATTTTTTTTTAAAATTTAACTTAAAATTCACCTGTTAGGGTGAAATTTGGGCTTTGTCTCCTTAGTATGCATATTAAGCACGTTTTCTAACTAAGTTCAGTGTAAAAAGTTTAAAAATGTTCTCACAATCTTTATCAGGTAAACAGTTTGGGTATTCATTTTGCCTAATTGTGTTACTTGTTAAACTAACCAATGAAATAGCAATGCCAGCTCAGCACTGAAGAAATTTTGGTGTTTAAAAGGTTTACGAAGAGTTCCTCTGAATATGGAGAATCTTAGGAAAATTCTTTTGCATTTTGAGGAGACTAGAGATTTTGCTGTGAAAAGGACCGAATTAGACATTTAAGAACAGAAGACATTGTCACTGCAGGAAATGAAAAATTCTCGTGGCATAGGCAATATTGTGCCAATGAGATGTGCATTCAGTGAGTGGAAAGTTCTGAGAAAAATCTTGTACTTCTATTCATACAAGATATCCTATAGTCAGAAATTTATTTCTGATGGTGATATCAGAAAATCATTGCAAGACATTCGTAGCTCGAATGATGGTTGACGATGCACAGCCCTGACAAATTCCGAGAAGCAATGGGGTTCATTTTCATTTGTTTTATGGTGTGAGCAGCTGCCATATTTGGTCTGACTGGTGAGAGCACCATTCGTAATGATATGATAAAGAATGCTTGAAATTACACCATTAATCCTTGTTTTGAGGAAAACTATCTGTCTAGGCCAGGGATCGGCAACCTGCGGCTCTTTGGATGTGAAGCTGCGGCTCTTTAGTTCCATACGCAAATATTATTTATTTTATCAAAAAAAAAAAACATTTAAAAATCGTTCTGAATCGATTAACGAGGATTAGGCACTGATTCTATCTCTCAGCCACTTGTACTCGCTTTTCACCGCACCCCTCCCCCGTGACACGCGTCGTCACTGTCGTCAGTCCGTCGGAAGCTCTCGAATGACGCCGTCGTCGGATGTTTCTATGAGGTTTAATTCGCTTTCGACGCAAGACAATTCTGAATAAATATATTAGTTTTTTTTAATCAAAAAACTTTATTTATGCTAGTACTATTTATTGTTGGCAAGAAAAAATTTTGTGGCTCTTTAAAAACTTTGAAATTTTGTAAATTGTAATTTTTGGCTCTTCCGACTCAAAAGGTTGCCGACCCCTGGTCTAGGCCAATGATATGTTCTGTTAATACCGCTGTATAGGAGATAGGCTTCAAAACTTCATTTCAGCACTACAGAAGAAGTTGAAAACAATATGAACAATGATAAACCCCATATTTCGGCTTAGATGTGCAAGCCGAAATAGTTTACACTGAACGAATAGCGAAAGCAAATGAGAAAAGTGAAAACCGATTTTTATTCACTTAGCGAACTTCATTCATACAACCAAAAGACACGCGATTGAGAATTTTAAGCAGCTAATCATTTGCAAGCAAGAGAACGTTCTCGAAAAATAAAATGGTTGCTTCCGATATTCTATTGTTAGCCGTGTTTATTTATCGGGGAAAAAAGATACGTTAAAAAGAAAACGATGCTGGATGAGAGAAATATTTAAAAAACCGTGAATTACGATATCTATCGTAGTCATCTTGAAAAGAAAAACCATACGACAACTAGCGGAAATTCGATCGGTGGCGAAATTTTTTGCTAGCGAAAAAGCTAAACAATTGCGAACTTCGAAGCGATTCTCGAAATGGTAAAATAAGCCACAAACAACGTCATGTCTGACGCGTTGTTTGCTGTTTTAAGCTTTCGCCAGCGAATTGGGCTCTGTGTGAACTAAGCTTTACTGCAACGTCATTTTTCGCACGAGAGATTATCCGATCATTTTCAACATCGTAGCCGCCACGATCAACAGATCTCAACGCCTGTGACTATTGGACTGACTAGAGCCGCATCCACCAGTAGTCGAGTGGTTACAATCACCGAACGCTGGTAATTGGTCGTGAGTTTGCATCTCATTAACGGGTTTGTCATATGGAGTTTTCCGTGTTTCCTTTACTAGTCCAAATAGCGGCTAGTTTCTCATAAAAGCCCTTGCGAAAACATCTCTTTCTTGCCAGATCGCTCAAATGTTACATTGCCTTACTCCATAAGTTTAATCTGCCTTAAGAGCAGCTCTTTAGGTTAATATTCACAACCTATCTTAAAAAGAGAATTTCAGGACGTGCAACATCCACACTTAGGTTAGTTGTTCAGCCGTGGAGTGTGTTGTGCAACGAACATACAACCATATTTTTCATGTAATCGTCAATTTCATATTTCAGATCTGTAATTGAAAAAATTATTGTACTTGTTTCTTCCGAATTTCATTGGAAAATGAACTAATATGCACATTAATGAAACAGCAGCGCCATATTTTGCCTTAGCGGTTGAGTTTTGAAGTAAAATTATTTCCCGAAAATCGAAACGCACACTCGGGACAATGTGTCACAAATTTTAAATTTGCACAATAGTTCTGTCTACAGAGAGCTCTGAACACCTACTCTGCACGATCACCCTGTCACGGTACAGAATAAAAAAAAAAAAAAACGAAAAAGTTTCTGTCCTCAGGTGGACTCTAACTATACTTATTTTCTCAGATGTCATATAACGATAGATAACTGCTTTAGAATATTTTACGTCATTCGTCGCTATATCTCTGTTAAATATTAAATTTGATCGATATCAGAACATCTGTGACGTATAGATTTCTATATTGAAAACACATAACGTACGTACTTCATGTAAATTTCATAAACCTTTTGGTAACAGCCGAATCATCAATTACGCTACAAAGACAGCTGAAGTTGATAGCGCTCCCATTAATTATTTTAACAATATTTTAGTATCGTATAAAATATTCCATTAATATTTCCAATGAAAATTTTTTACTAATCTCAAAAGATGAAGTCGATTAGAATCTAAAATATTGCCGTTACATATATTTTTTCTTAAATAATATTTTCAAGTATTTGGTTTACAAAATAAAATGCAATATATATATATATATATATAATTGCTTGTCCTGACTGGCTCATTGACTGATTCATCATCGCCCAGAGCAAACCGCTGGACCTAGAGAGGTGAAATTTGGTACACAGTTAGGGTAAGTCATGAAAACGCACACTAAGAAGGGATGAATCAGTGAGTCAGTCAGGACAAGCAATCTATATATATATATAATTGCTTGTCCTGACTGACTCATTGACTGATTCATCATCGCCCAGAGCAAACCGCTGGACCTAGAGAGGTGAAATTTGGTACACAGTTAGGGTAAGTCATGAAAACGCACACTAAGAAGGGATGAATCAGTGAGTCAGTCAGGACAAGCAATCTATATATATATATAATTGCTTGTCCTGACTGACTCATTGACTGATTCATCATCGCCCAGAGCAAACCGCTGGACCTAGAGAGGTGAAATTTGGTACACAGTTAGGGTAAGTCATGAAAACGCACACTAAGAAGGGATGAATCAGTGAGTCAGTCAGGACAAGCAATCTATATATATATATAATTGCTTGTCCTGACTGACTCATTGACTGATTCATCATCGCCCAGAGCAAACCGCTGGACCTAGAGAGGTGAAATTTGGTACACAGTTAGGGTAAGTCATGAAAACGCACACTAAGAAGGGATGAATCAGTGAGTCAGTCAGGACAAGCAATCTATATATATATATAATTGCTTGTCCTGACTGACTCATTGACTGATTCATCATCGCCCAGAGCAAACCGCTGGACCTAGAGAGGTGAAATTTGGTACACAGTTAGGGTAAGTCATGAAAACGCACACTAAGAAGGGATGAATCAGTGAGTCAGTCAGGACAAGCAATCTATATATATATATAATTGCTTGTCCTGACTGACTCATTGACTGATTCATCATCGCCCAGAGCAAACCGCTGGACCTAGAGAGGTGAAATTTGGTACACAGTTAGGG